AATACTAGAAGAAGAATTCGGGATCGAATTACGGATCGAACGCGGTGTGACATGCACCATTGGTACGCAATGCCGAATGAATAACTTACTGCGGTTCCTTTCGGCGATGTGCACCGTTTCTCTGTATTCTTCAAAGCCACTGCCTAACCCTGCATGTCTAATGGAGCCCTTGACCCGAATCAATGAAAGTAACGCATATTGTGGCTGTGAGTGGCCGTGCAGCTGTCAGGAACTCACAGGTAGCATATATCTGTAACGTTACATGAGAATGTGATTGCGTGATCCGGAAAATCACTGCCACTGCTTCCACGGTATAGATCTTCAGCTGTTGTCTCTTGCAGTGGTTCCAATACCCTCGAACAACTACACCAGCCCCGACTGAACTACTCACTCAGATCGCATACTCTGGTAATCTTCAATCTCGACCATGAATGCCCTGAAGCACATTAGAAAGCTTTTCGATGAATCCGACATTGGAAACACATACCGCAACCCTGAAGAAGATACCGACAACTCGTTACGCCTACTAGACGATGGGTTGCTGGACACCACACCCCGCGACGAGACGCTGGAGATGTAGGTGAAGCCTCGAGAACAATTCTCGACTGGAAGGATTTCAATGGATAGTATATGCATGTATAAACGGGATGTGAAATCGAGACACATATGGGAAGCTATGCGTAGGCCGACGGAGACATGTTTAGCAGGTCCCAGGAGAGTTCAGAGCTTGGGACCAGGATGGGAGGATTCAAACTACTCAGCGCCTGCCAGCAGGCATTCGGAAGGCGCCTTGCAGCTTGTGCGAACTAATGCCGCTCGTCGTATAGGAAAAGCTGGGGGGATGCAAGTCAGGATCAGGAGAGAGTTGCAGAGACATGACTGCGTGCAGGCGGCTTTGCCCGTAGACTTGAACAAGAGCCTACCTGCGTTGCCTTTGTGAATAGGCGGGCAGCATGGCAAGGACCAAGCGGCACCTCGATCAAGTAACCTAGTCTTGTTTCTTACTACTTAAGCTTCTTCGAAGCATAGAATGCGATGGCTGGTCATCGGCTTACGTTCGTGCAAACCACATTGACCATCGGGATGGATGCAACGAACGACTCGGGGTAGCCGCAGACGGTCTGAAATAATCACCTAAGCCACTGGTGATGCAGCCTCCCCTACTACTCACTTCCCCTTGGCTATTTAAAGCTTCCGTAGTTGCTGTCTTGATTTGCGCACTGCGTATCTAAGTTAGTGGTGTGGGGTAGAAGCACAGACAAACGTCGGGCTAAAGTGGTCTTACCACTCAGTTTCTCAACTGACTCGGTGTATCATCCTTCCCACTCGTGATGCAAGTAGCATAAGCCGCGAGGGTCATTGAGAGTACAGCTCCCATTCGCACAGATTTGCGATTACCTTCGACAACAGGAAGTCGTGAGTACATCAAAGTGTTAACGAGACGGTGTGATAGATCCGACATGCCTGATATTGAAGTTCTCAACAGATGCGGCTCAAGCGGCAGCTCCTGGTGAGGCCGCGCAGATCTAGATCAGCCACATGGAACCGACGAAGACTACCACCCCGGAGAACTTGCCTAGTTCTCAGTCCAGAAAGCCTTCTGTGAGAGAGGGGAGGGCGGTCGATGCGAAGGTGTTCGGGAAGTGGTTAGGACAGTGGGTTTTTTTAGAAGCATCATGGAAAGAAAGCTATTTTTATTAGTCTTTAGTAGCAAAGACGTTGTGATTGCATTCTTGTTATCTCCTTTTAGCTAGTTAGTTAATTCAGAACCCTGGTGCTAGAGTTTAGCAATTGCAGAGCGCGTTCAGGTTGAATTCTCCATTCCGAACGGTCCGTGATCCCAGAGACATCAAAGCTATTGCAATCATACCGTTACCAAAGCACAATCTCAAAGACCAAGCCCAACCTAGGACCAGACCGCAGTCTGAGTCAAAGGCGCACTCTATTCTTTCTGTGATCCCAGAGTCCTCGCACAGCGCTAGAGGTGAGTAATCGCGGAGCGGATCGTAGTTGAATTCTCCGTTCCGAACGGTTCAATATCCTAAAGCCTTCAGAGATGCGTAAGCACCAAAAGCCATCTTTGTTATTTAAGTTTGGTGCTGATGGTACTAAATTAAAAACTAAAAATGTACAAAGATTTGACTCTACCTAGGTAAGTAACGGAACCGCTTTTGATCACAGTGAGATACACTGGCAGGCAGTCCTAGATGCCCCAGTGAATATGAGGCGCGGGTCAGACCCTTAACCGCGCCGAGATAGGCTAGACCTCATCTTAAATGATGGACGAAGTTTGGATGAGCCAAGTACGATGCTTGTCCTATTTTCCGTTCATCCAATTTCTGCAGCATTACTGACAACAAGGTCGAAGTCTACGTAATCTAACTCGTCATCAACAGCGCCCACAAGAAAGAAGAAGCGCGCACTGCAACGGGAGAAAGACATTAAGTTCGCTGCATATACGTACCGGACCAATAGGCGGACAGAAAGCACGGACACAACAGGTGACACTCAGGCAATGTTGATGAGACAGGCAACATAAGTATTAGAAACGCAGTCAAAGTCATGAATTGCAATCACTATTACAGTATTTCTTTTGTTATTACACTACACAAGTTGTATTAATGTGTCCAAATTTCTTCCTTATGGTTAAATGCAGACAGGTTCTTCAGTTTGGAATTTGGAATTGGATTGCAAGTACCCAAATCGACATATCTAGCATCTTGTGCCGACTCAGATGTATCCAGGTACCCATGACCGGGAATGCCGGAATGTTCTCGATGCTTTGACAATTTACTTAGGGTACGTAGTGCCGCAACCCACAAATACGATTCGGAATCAACACGATACAGAAAATCGAAGATGATTGGCAATTTTACATGTACGGCAAGACTGATCTTGAGAATAGCTACGCATCCAAAGTATTAAACCAAATGTGCCAACCTTGTATATGTGAGCAACAGGGTATAGTCCCAAAGTATGTAGATCTATGAGAACCAATGAACAAAGAGAACACAAACACAAACGCGGTCATACTTGGTCTTACAGCTTCAATCCTTGGTTTCCTCCTCTTAGCATCATGGGGTCTTAGTGTAAGAAGCTCTGGGTAATTGTACACAGACCGGTACCGTGACTGGCCCCTAGAAGTATAAGTACGAGGAGAATTCCCTATGAGAAATTGCCAGACTTGCAGCATATTCTAGTCCCACGAAGCTACAGCCCAAGCCAACATTAAACGGTTTTCTACCAGCCCTACATCAACCATGCAGCTCTCTACTCTCGCAACTGTAGCAGCTGTCCTCGCCGCCCCTGTATTCGGTCAGCAGAACCAGTGCCGGGCCCGACTGTAAGTGTGGCGTATTATCCGACCTTCTTGTTAGTATACAAGTAATGCTCATCATAATCGCAGCAACACTCCTCAGGGCAATGGCTGCACCATTTTCCCTGCAACAACGGCCCGAAACACCATTATCCCAATCTTTGGTATCGGAGCACTCCCTGACTGCCAGCTTACAATCAATTTCGAAGGGCCAAATTGTCGATACTTTGTGGCCGGCGTGAGCGGCTGTGCGGGCAATAGGGACATTAGTTTTTCGACTGCTCCTGCCGGGAACGGACAAATCGTACCATGCTAGCCTCTATTAGCTACACGCGTGATAGAGTATTTACTACTCCTAGCGTGGACATTGGAAGCCCTCTAAAGGGCGTTACTGTCTTTACTGTACCAAGTGTGTACGGGTCTTTCAACAACGCCCTACACATATAAATTGAGAAATGTTTAAAGTGCCTACCTAATTATTCGATTCTATCGTGATAACTAATAAAACCGAGTTACAGCCCTACGTATAGTGCTAAAAGAACCCTGCGAAGCAGGATCTTTGCAACCTTGCTACGAAGAATATTGCTTGTTGTCTGTAGACGAGACGGTTGTAGCGTAGGATATTATTCGTAAGCCGCCAGATCTACGAAGAAACCCGCTACCTCCCCTTCAGCCTCAACACATTCAGGTACGACGAACGACTCGGGCGACAGACCTGGCTCCGCTCGCTGGCATCCCGACTCGCTGTCGTGCGGAAAGTGCGTGTTCATGTTGAAGAGGATTGGGGTTTAGACCGTGGATTAAAGAAAGGTCTGACCAACGGACTGGAGTTCTTCCCAAGTCTCGATAGTCTGGAGCTGATTTGCGGGTATGACCGGTACAACGCAGGTGGGCTTGACAAGGTACTCAAATTGGCGAAGTAGACGAAGCGCGACGTGGAGGCGCTAGTCGGCTCCGAGGTCACATTGAGGATTTATATCAGGAAGGTTTGGAACATTCGCGAGTACGATCTTTTTGATTTTGACACCTATTTTCCCTTCAAGCTTTGAGCGTTGCGACCTATTTTGGTCGGATTGGAGTGACGGATTGCAGACATCATGCTCACAGCTGGCATGTTGACATGGGTCTGGTGTAGGACATGAACGGAGGAAGCTTGGTGAAGCTTGAGAAGCTTCGCGTTGAAGAGCCAGATCTTAGTCATCCATCATTCCCAACAGGGAAGGTACATAACACGACGACTTCGTCATAATAAAGCTCACCCAAAAGCTATTTGACTATCTTACCATCTCAGCTGTGATCCTCGCTTGCGACAGTACCACTTCATCCCTTCCTACTGGAAAAGCCGAAAATGCAAGTCCACGAGCACCCCGCCTCATCCCCCATCCTACGGCAGGCCCTGAAAACCGCCCTACCCTACAGTGTCAACCTCGTCTACAGAATCCAACACCCAAACCGAACCGAACACGCCCACATACTCGCCACATTTCCTCCATGGGCCACTGAAATACCAGAATGCTGGGCAGCAGCCTACCTCGATCGCTCCATGCGTCCAGAGACCGAGCTGTGGATTTTCAGTAGCGCAGAACAGCCACATCATGCGAATGCAACACCGGAGTTTCGTCAAGAGAGCAAGAAGGCGGTATTGGCATTACTAGAATATATGGCTACACTTGCTACTCCACCAATGCGTTCCGATAATCTACCTGCTCTGGACCTGGCAAAGCAACACGAGAAAGACTACCCAACGCCACCAGCATCCGGCGCATACGAATCCTCACCAGGAACATATATGCGACATCTCCTCATGCCCAAAGTTGTTACGCTAGGGGCGTGCCATCGCGACGTGGTTGAGATACTCCGCGAAGCAGGAGTCTTACGCACCGAGCTTCCAGGCCCTGATGCCGAGCTGAACAAGTTCTTGTTCAAGCTTTCTGATCTTCCAGAGACCCGAGAGCTACCCAAGGGATTACGGTGGGGTGAGATGCGCGAGCAGGATATCGATGTCGTCAAAGCCAGGACGTCGATTCCAAGGACGACGAAGACACTCATGTCACTAAAGAGTGTGGGTGTTTTTGAAGAAGAGACAGACACAGCAGTAGCGTGGACATTCCTCGGGTTAGACGGTTCTCTTGTTACGTTACATACAGAAGAAGCATATCGAGGAAAGGGGATAGCAAAGGCCGTTGCAGCGAAGCTGTTTCGACAATATGCCCCAGGATTAGCAGTAGACGACGACGGGAATGCATGGTCACACGCGGACGTATACTTGGGCAATGCGCAAAGTGAGAGTGTCTGTCGAAGCTTAGGAGGTAAGCCGCTCTGGAGGTGCTTTTGGGTGCGGATAGACCTAGAAAGGGTGGGTCATCCTGCAAAGGCTGTCTGAGCTGCTGTCAGCTGGTACGCATCACCTCTTCGTAGCATATCGAGGTGCACAAGCTAGTGGTATATCTGTTCGAAAGTCAGTCTCGAGCCTTGCCATGGTTGTGAAAGAGTGACTTGAAAGACAGGGTGCTCATTAAAAAATTAGAGTGTTGTTGTTGTATTTTGATCCTCACCGAGGAATCTCAGGGTTAAAAAGAAAATAATCATAGCAGCGCGAGATGAGAGGGTGTAGGCTTACCTGAGATTGTACTGACGCAGATGCTTTGTGGGCATCACGGCATAGTGTCTGAATGAGTTCATCTGATCGTATTGTCGTTGACTGTCTATATCATGAAGACGTGCTTCGACAGACCGTAGTCATGCCGATATCTCTCAAGAAATGTCATCGCAAACGTGAGTAGCTTAGTCGAAGAGACCGAAGCCCATGTCGTCATCCTCAGACTCCTCCTTCTCCTCTTCCTTGGCCTCCTCCTTAGCGGCAGGGGCGTCACCACCACCGGAGGTAGCACCGACGGCAGGGCCAGCGGAGGCGTACTTGTCGGGGTTGGCGATGCGGTCCTTGAGCTCGGCGATCTCCTCCCACTCGTAGTCGGTCTCAATGGCGACAGAGATGACCTTCTTGTAGGAGTTGACAACGGAGTGCATGACGGAGGGCAGGGTGGGGAAGCCAGAGGCCAGAGAGATGGCGGCAATGGTGCTGATGGCAGAGGAGAAAGCCTTGAGCAGCTGGGACTCCTCAATGTCCAGGACGGAAGCCTCGAAGGTCTGGCCGTTGTCGTAGATCTGGTAGATACCCATACCGTAGGTGAAGGGCGAGATGTTCAACAAGTTGAGCAGGGTAGCCTCGGAGGCACCGACCTTGTTACCAGCCTCGATGAGCTTCAAGTCGGAGGTAATTTCGATGGTACCACGGGCAATCTTGGTGGGGACACCGAGAGCCTGGAAGAAAGAGGTCTTTCCGGGTTCCATACCACTGTGATATGTCAATTACTTGTACGATGTGTGCGCGTAAGACGCGTTCTTACGTGTTTCCGGCGGGAATGTAGACATCGCCGGGGGCGACGGCACCGGCACGAGCGGGAGCAGCGACACGGTTGGCGAGGATCTTGTCACGGGTCTCCTTGAGGTCGGCGTTGGTGAAGACGAAACCGACGTTGCCTGTACTAGTGTCAATGCTGTGCGCGAGCGTCGCGTGAGTTGGAAGACGTACCCTTGACGTGGGGAAGGAGACGCTCGTACTCGGGAGAGTCGTTGATGAGACCCTTCAGAGCACGGCGGACCATGGTGTTCTTTCCCATGAGAACGACACCCTCGCCGCGGAGCGACTGGCGGATCTCGTGCATCTGCTGGGACGAGACATTGTCGACGGTGACGATGAAGATGCTCTTGTACTCCTTGAGGAGCTGCTCGAGCTTCTCGAAGTAAGCGGCCTTGGTTTCTTTCTTGCCCCCCATTGTGTTCTGCGACCCAAAGGGATGTTTAAGGTCTTAGTTTGGTGTTGTTGATGGTTTGAGGAGGAGAGGGAAAGTTCGGCCGGCGAAAATCGAGGTTGTCTGCTGTGGGTGGCCCCTGCTCGCCTAACGCGCTAGCGCATTTGGGGCCTCACAGAAAAGTACCATCAACTCCACGAGGCAGTGTCCAACGCAGACATCATGACTGTTCCATACCAGTGCATTGTAGCGCGAAGCTCCGAGTCTTCAGATGACTGGACTGTGTTTGCTGCGAGCGGCTCCAAGATTGTAGTTCAATCCAGCCGCGGGTCAGTGACGACATGGCCACAGCAAGACGCCCAAATCGAAGTGAGTGATGGCGTACTTATTGTGATTTGTTAATGTTGTGGCGTTGGATTGGTGGCCGAAGTAGTTGCGCATCGCTAATATGAGCAGGATCAGCAGGAGGGCGACTCCGAAGAGCGACCAGGAAAACGCATCAAATTGGAACAACCGAAAGAGCAAAAGTCGAATTTCGCCAGTCTCATCCTCTCGAATGATGGACAATACTTGGTTGGCATCACTGGCGAAGATAAATGCGTTCGCGTCTTCCAGATCGATGCTCAGAACCAGCTGCACCAGTTGAGCGAAAGGTAAGAGGCGCACGATGTCCGAAAGATTCGAAAATTGACATGATCAAGGTGCATGTCAAGACGGCCTTGCTCGATCACTCTCACGTCTGACGATGCAACCATATTGTGTGCAGACAAGTTTGGCGATGTCTACGCATTGCCGCTTCTCCCTTCGCCTGACGACGACAAGGAAGAAGAGTTGCCCGAGGCATCAGCAACTGAAGAGGCCGATGAGAAAGAATGGATCCCCTCCGCTACTACTCTCACCGTTCACTCTGGGAGAAATCGAAAGACTCTCGAAGAGCAGCTGAAACGGAAAGCGAAAGGCCCGGCGAAGCCCAAGGAGACTATGCGATTCAAGCATGAGCTGCTCCTTGGCCATGTCTCTATGCTCACAGATGTCGTCTATGCAAATGCAGCTGGTCGGGGCTATATCATGACAGCAGACCGGGACGAGCACATCAGAATATCACGAGGTCCACCGCAAGCGCATATCATAGAGGGATTCTGCTTCGGCCACGAAGCGTTTGTGAGCAGGCTTTGCCTCACACAGTCTGGCCTACTTGTGTCTGGCGGCGGCGACGATCACTTGTTTGTATGGGATTGGCAGAACTACCTCTTGAAGGAAAAGTTGGCCATCCGTGATCTTGCCTTCACTCATCTCCAGGAGCGTGGCATGATCCCAGCAGGAGTAAATGTAGCAACGTACAAGGTCGCGGTTTCTGGAATATGGAATCTACCAAACAAGGACGGTGTAAGTATCATGAAGCTTTTGACTTTGTTTATCCATCATCTGACTGTTGATAGGCCGAGACAGTTGTTGTGGCATGCGAGGGAGTACCAGCGTTATTCAGCTTCGGACTAGGTGCATCCGTACCAGGCTATGCCATTCCACTGGACGGCAACGCACTGGACCTTGCCATCATCCGCACGTCTACTGGTCCTTTGAAGTTGGCTGTGTCGATAGACAACATCCAGAAACCAGGCTCAACGACCGAAATTCGGGAAGACATGGTAAGCTTCCTGCTCAGAAGCATCTCATGGATGATAGCTAACATGTCGAACAGGCACTGAGACTGCAATACCTCGCAAGACAACAGGACGGTACATGGCACGCAGATGCAGAGCTCGCAGAGACATTGAAGAGCTTCGACCAAGGTGGTGACGACCGACTTGCAGATGACAAAGCAGTCCGAGATATGCTCTACAATGTGGAGAACCTCAGGAAGCGTCCAGGCGCGGAGGATTAGATAGCAGCGTTAGACGCCCACAATGGATTCGTAGTGCTCACTCCCAAGCGCGAGGCCGATATACAAAGACAGAAAGTGAAGCGCGACGCGTGCGACTCCAGAACGTGCATGAACTGTAATCATCCAAACAGTCGCCCCCAGACTACGCCTCAGCACCGGACGAAGTCGCGACATTTCGGACGGGGCTCCTGATGAACTTTGCCGAGGCTCGTGATACAGAAGTCGCCTCGAGTCAAGCATGTCAGCACCGGACATTAAACGCGAGATGGGCAAGATGGGTGGGCTGCGTGGAACGTGGGTCTAGTACAGGTCGATTTCTAAGAATGACAGCCCGGCCGGCGATGGCGTAGATCGACAGCAAGCAGCCGACTTTTTTCTTTCCAAGCAGAAATCTCCCAACGTCTGACATGTGTTGCATTTGCAAATAAGGTGTGTTTGCTCTCTTGCTTTCTACGTCCCAACGTGCTGCCCTCATTTTGATACCGCATTACATATATATATTGACTGCGACGCATAGTTGAGCACGATCTGCATCTCGAAAACCCCACCACGCCTCGGCTCGCCGTCATCCCCCAAATATCGCGGAACCTCCGAAGCTAGAAGACGACGCCCACTAATCGCAAACCCGCTGCGGCAACGTCAAAAGCGTTTTTCCAGCTCCTTCTCCGTCATTTGGTCCCTCCCACATAAGGCACCATCTGCACCGCTCGCACTCCGTTGCTAAACCTCCACATCGCATCCCACCAGCCACACACGACCCACACGCCCGCAACCACATCTTGCACGCGACACGCGAAACTTTCGCACACGCCGCCAAAGTGTTCGCATCAATCTTCCGAAGGGCGTCCTCCCCCCGCAACCTATCCTTATTCTCCGTCCCCATCGCTGCCGCGGCATCGCATAATCAGCGCGTCTCACCTGTAGCGGGGCTTTCGACTGCTTCAACCTTTGCAAAAGTACAGTCGCGAAACATGCATTCAAAACTAGTCAGTAAGTGGCATCCTAAAAATTCCTGGCACGGATAGTGCTAACGACATGCAGTTATTGGGTATGTTCCGCGATCAATGGCGCGACGGAGTCGATCTCGAGGATAATGCTAACATACACAGCTCGGGGCCAGCAGGCCACACCGCAGCTATCTACGCCGCGCGGGCGGATCTGAACCGTAAGACACCGCCTCGAAATCATCCCTGTGACATTGCTAACCATGTGCAGCCGTCATGTACGAGGGATTCATGGCTCTCGGTATCGCTGCAGGTGGTCAATTGACCACAACAGACGAAGTCGAGAACTTCCCCGGTTTCGTCAAGATCGGAGGCGGCAAGCTCATGGTCAGTAACGCCACGCGATAGCCATGCGCCAACGCTTACTAACAAAACACAGGAGCAAATGCGCGAACAATCCGAAGCCTGCGGCACCGAAATCATCTCCCAGACCGTCGCAAAGGTCGACCTGAAAGCGCGCCCCTTCAAGTACTGGTTACACCCCATGGGCGACGAGGAGGAGATCGAGGAGGAAATACACACTGCCGATGCTTTGATCATCGCGACCGGCGCAAAGGCCAGGAGATTGGATCTCAAGGGCGAAGACAAGTACTGGGGCAACGGTGTCTCCGCATGCGCTGTATGCGACGGTTCCCTTCCCATGTTCCGCGACCAGCCACTGGTCGTCATCGGAGGTGGTGACTCG